CGAATACAGCGCAAAACGGCCACCCTCTGTTTTTAATTCCCCTTTTATAAATCACCTTCTGAACAATTTATGTGATGAAGGGACAAAATGTTCAATTCACGCCGCCGCCGGGTGCCGGAGGGGGGGGGGAGGAGGGGGTCGCGCGTACTGTGAGCGTGTGTGGTTGGCGACCACTTCAACACGAGTGAGACGGACGGCTGCTTGGCGGCGCCACACTTCAACACCACACCGCGGGCGGCCGCAACTCGCTGGTGAAGAACGTGAAGAAGCCCCCTCGTGGGGGAGGTCGTGGCGCGGCAACCCCCATCTCTCTCTTTCTCTCTCACTCGCTCGCTCGGCGACGACGGCGAAAAGCCAAGGCGAAAGGCAACGCCCCCCATAAAGCAGTCGCCGCGCGCGCGCCCCTCCGGCCACGCCGCGCCGCGCCACGCCACGCCGCGCCACCGTCTCGCGCAGCGGGAGGGAAATTGAACGTACATCGAGTGCCGGATGAGAAACTGCTATGACCCAGTCGCATTGTGGGCCGCACTTTGTCTCTCTCGCTCTCATTACTACGGCGGGGTGGGGTGGGGTGGGGCGGGGTAGGGTAGGGTAACAAGGACGTCGTGCCGGCGCGGCAGCAATCGGCTGCGAGTTATGTTATCCGGGTTCAGCGGCCCGGCGGAGTGTAGCGGGGAGCACCCCGGAGGGGCGAGGCGGGGCGGGGCCTAGCAACTCTTACAGAAGGGGCGCCCCCGCGGCCCCCGCCGGCAGCCCCCGCGCGTCAAATGAAATTCCTCTCGCCTCTCGACTCTTTTGCATGGCGACGATGTATGTGTATTGTGTCGTCCTGGAGGGCGGCCTGCTTGCTCTGCTGTTGGGGGTTTGGTCGGCACGCCCTCCTTCCTCGCCTTGCCACCATGCCAAGCCGTGCCGTGCGCGGACAAACGCCAACTTTTTGCGGTCCTGCTGTCGGTGTGTTGTCCGCCCGCCGCCCACCGCGTTGTTGTTGGCGGCGGCTGGGTCGTCGTGCGGTGACGTCACGTCGTCGAAAGTTTGGTGTCTCCAGGGTTGATGATGAGCCTCACTCACATCATGTGGTGGTGGCGGCGGTGGTGGTGGTATGAGGAGAAGCAGCGGCAACCGCGTACCGACCGACGGTGACGACGGTTTTGCGAGGGCATTCCCCCATAACTAACGGATTGGTTTGTTTGGTTTTGCTTGTTGCAGTGTCCGCGCATAAAGACTGTCTAGAGAACGGATCTTGGTTTAGACATCCGGAAACGGGGCAGATGTGGTCAAATTACACAACCTGCATAGACTATTCCGATTATCAGGTAAGTTTTACGAAAGCTCTTATGATTGCAATTAAAATTTTGTGTGCTTTTTCCGACAAAAAGTAATTTCACTGATTTTTTTTTTTTACAGTTTAAGACACTTGTTATAAAAATAAACGAGACCGGGTATCTAATATCTTTAGTCGCCCTTTTATTATCTTTAGGTATTCTATCATATTTCAAGTGAGTACTCAAACTTTTTATCGTGACGACTGGAGCACTGCCCACTGTTCAGACGCAGGTTAAAATTACATATAATTTCAACCTTTCCCTATCTCTCTCGCCAGATCACTGCGGTGTACTAGGATATGGTTACACATGAACCTGTTCGCCTCGTTCGCGGTCAACAGCGCGCTGTGGCTCATGTTTTTCACCATCATCATCCCCGATGTGGACCTCATGCAAAATAATTTGGTGAGAAGGCGCCTGCCTGTTGCGATAACGATCTCTATAGTAAATTACCACCCTTCGCATGGTTTTTAGTAGCTCTCGTGCAAAAAAAAGCGACCCTGGCCGCCGGCTGACGTTGGTACAGTGCTCCCACCCCCTCCGACGCCCTCTCCCGCCTGAAAGGCAATACATCTTGGCAGCCACTCGGCCAGTGGCACATAAAACATGGGTAGTGGGTCGCTTGCTCGCCCCAAATCGGTCCCGGCGACGACAGTACTCCGTTTATTATGTTTTTTTGCCTCCATCTACTCAGAGGAACCATACAATGATGATAATTCAGTGATGATATTCGGTATGCAAAGGGCTTATGGCGCGCGAGGCCAAACTGCTCGATGAGAGTAAAAAGCACGAAATGGGGTTCGGTTCTAAAGCCCTCATTGCCATTAGCGTAAAGCGGCTCAGTCAGATTATGCGTTTTGTTTTTCTTCTCCAGATGTGGTGCCAGGTCGCGCACGTGGTCACGCAGTATTTCCTGCTCACCAACTACTGCTGGATGCTGTGCGAGGGCCTGTACCTGCACACGGTGCTGGTGAACGCGTTCGGCGCCGAGGAGCGGCTCGTCAAGTGGCTCTACATGCTGGGCTGGGGCATGCCGCTGCCCATCATCGTGTTGTACGCCCTGCTGCGCGGCATGGACGTGCAGGCCACCCAGCGGTAATTACAGTCAGAGCAAAAATTGAAGTAGAAATCAATTGAGCTGACAGATCAATCGATATTGATTATCTGATATCAGATGGTTCTGAAAGAATTAGAGTTGGAAACTTCCAGAAAATTTTTGGATTATTTTCCAAAAAATCAAAAAAAATCGAGAAAACGGAAATCTACTCGGAATCTGGGAAATTGTCCAATACATTTATTGTTTTCGGAAAAATTTTCCGGAAATTTTCCAGGGCTTCCAGCGTTAGAATGAATCACAAATATCTACATATTTTTGTCTTATTCCCCTGATTCTCAGCTGCTGGATGGAGGAGACGCCGTACAACATGGTGATGACGGTGCCCGTGTGCGTGTTCATGGTGACCAACTTCTTCTTCCTCACCAACATCGTGCGCGTGCTGTGGGGCAAGCTCCGCGCCGGGCCGCAGGTCGGGTCGCACGCTGAGCGGCCGTCGCGCACGCTGCTGCAGGCCACCAGGGCCACGCTGCTGCTGGTGCCGCTGCTGGGCCTGCAGTACCTCGTCATCCCCTTTAGACCGGACGAGAAGGGCAGCGACTTGGAGCGGCTCTACGAGATCATCTCGGCCATTTTCGCTTCCTTTCAGGTCAGTATCACATCCTTCATAATGTAAGTGGTGCTGAAAATTTTTGCAGTCAGCAAGGTGGCATTCGTCTACAAACTTACTAAAGAAGTAACAATGTAACAAGGTGACTGAACGTGACACTGTCAATTAAAACCGACTCATTTGTGAAATTGTGTATGGCCTCATGAGTGGCCTTCTCTTATTCGATCAGTTCTAATAGTTGTCCTCTTTTACCAGGGCTTGGCGGTCGCGTTGTTGTTCTGTTTCTGCAATGGCGAGGTATGGGCGCGATCCACATATATGTAACGTTGGCCCGTTGCCAAGTAATGCCTATTGTATATGTAATCACGTTTATCTTGTTGCAGGTGCTCGCTCAAATGAGAAGGCGAATGGATTTCGCTTTTCACAGACGACGAGCTAATTCGTACACGGCCACCACCGTGTCGGTACGTCGGCTTAGGTTAGCACAGCTTCCTTCTTCTTCTATTTTATTCTTTTCCATTCGTTTCTCGTTTGGCTTTCACCATATCGCTTACGCTTGCCTGGAAACAGATTGTTTAATACAGAATATCGCTGCAACATTGATCTACTTGCGCTGTGTTGTGCAGAGTACAGCTTAGACACTAATGTTCTGCTTGCTAGGTCAGTTTTGTTGCCCGGGTCTCGGAACCCGATCAGCATAAGTGTTGCTCTGCACGCCATGGCAAAACGTGGTGTGACCCTAACCGCGGGGGTAGTTTAGACTCGAGCATGCGTCTTTGTGCACAACAACTTGCTCACCCTACCGCCCATGTCAAACTATCGGACAAGGCCGGTGTGCATAGTAACTATTTGTGCCTAGTTCTTTGGAAAGAGAGGACATCACGTAAAACTGTCGTCGCACACGTTCTTGTGTCCGGGAAGTGCATAAGCACTAGGAACAGCAGTATTGTTTTCCGCTCTAAACATCCCGCTGCATGGCTGCTCAGCTCTACCCCCTTAATAGAAAAAAAAAGAGTGTTCGCTAAAAGAAGTTTTGGCGAGTTTTGCTGTTTTTGTTTGTGTGCTTTTGAGAAAATGTCTATGTTGCTCCATAAGTGTTTGCCCCTCTTGATGGTTTTTGTGCTCTTCTTAGCCACTCTGTGTAAAGCTTCTCATAGTGGCCAGAAAACATTTCCTGTTGAAACAAAACATTTTCCAATAAGACAAACTCTGCTCTGAAACATCAAATCAGCAAACTTGTGTTTTAAACTTCTTTAGCAAACTTTTTCTTCTGTTTTGGCGTGGAGAACACCTAGTGACGGTTTTGTTTTAATGTTTTGCAGTTCATCCGCTCGACGCCTTGCCCGCAAGCAGGGGAAGAGCGAGTGTGACGTTGAGTCCCGGCAGTGCGAGAGCATCACCATCCCGGCCGTCGTGTGAGGACCAAACCTGTCTGTGATGTGACCGTGCCTGGAAAACCAATTGCACAAAAATGAATCGCTATTTGTTGTTGCTGTTGTCCCCAGTGGTTGTGCTTCCTCAAAGAGGAAGGCATTTTAAAAAATGGCGCAATCTTTATTCAAATGTCTGTATATTGCACATTAGCAGCATTTGCACACTTCGAGATACGTGAAACGGAATATCTATTATTCTTACTGGGAACAGAAAGTTTGGAATTTGTGCTGGTTGAACTTATTCAAGCTGCATCGGATGGTTTTAGGTCCATCTGACGGACAGTGCGATGTCCAGTGGGTTGCCTAAACACTGTCGTATATTTCCAGCTTTTCGGAAGTTCGTCTGAGACTGACGTGGTCCTTTAACACGTTCCTTGCGGCGTGACCACTGTGTGGTCACGCTCTCATGTTAAATCATAGGCACCTAAAATGTGCCGCAACGAACCTGCTAAAACCACTATTGCAATGATGCCGCTGTGGCATGTAACCCAGGAGACGATGGTAACTGCGCGAGGTTTGCAACTGCGCGAGGTCTGTGACTGCGCGAGGATTGCAACTGCGCGAGGACTGCAACTGCGCGAGGACTT